ACAATGATGGTGTTGCACTGATCAAGTACATATTTTTGCTATTGGTGTTTTGGTCGATGAGGGATGGTGTGTGGTGATGTCGGTTAAAATAGCCGATGGCAGATTAGATTTTGGTTTGCTGGGTGTGCGACGGTGGGAAAACTACTAAACTGTTGCAAACGATTGAAGTGCCAAGATGAGGGTGTTCGGAATCTAAGGTTGATTTAAACTGCTTGCTAGAAATGATTTCTCAAGCTATATGGAAAGGCTTACTCCAGGTGCATTGTGTGAGTGCTGCCGTAAAAATGGATTTCTCAAAAAAATTGGGCTTCAAACCACCCTGCAAAAATCAGAAGTCAAGATAAGATAGCTCGAAAAATACATACATCAATAGATGCCTTCAACAAAAGAACAGTGAAAACAATGCAATTTTAGAAGGGTTTAACTATAAAATTATGAACTGTTCCTATGGATTGAACATTCAAAATCGCAAAATTTTCTTAGTTTTGGTAGGAGTTGGAGAAAGGAGGTAGAAATGGTTTCAGAGCCTTAGATATTGAAGTAGTGGTGGTGGAGAAGGTGAAGTGGTAGAAGTTGTATAAAATGATATAATTTAAGGTTTTGACTAGTGTTTTGTCACTTTTTTTAAGTGGTTCTCACGTTTTTTAATTTGTCACTTTTTTAGTATTTGTCAATTTTTTTAATGGTATTTGTCATTTTTTGAATATGTTTGTGTTTTGAGTTCATTTTTTTTCTGCTTTATGTGCATGGTTTTTTGTTCTTAAGTTTTGTCAGCTTGTAGTAATAGTGGTGGCGGCGGAAAAAGCGGAGGGATAGCATTGAGTTGCTAGTTGAGTTGGTAGATGACGATAGTTATGAATTGATTTAAAGATGCTTGACTTTTGATTGTGTTTTGTCGGTGAACTAACTTAAAAATGCTTAGTGGTGAATGGAAAAGGAGAAGGGATATGGTCGTATCACTTTTTTTATTTTTTTTATTTTTATTTCTATACACTTTATTTAATTGATTCCAATGTTTTAATTGGTGTTTGTCATTTTTTTTTTGAATTTTTATCGCATTTTTAAATCTATCACTTTTTTAATTTATGTTACTTTTTTAGAGTTTGCCACTTTTTTTAATGTCTTTCAATTTTTGTCACTTCCTTGAAATTTATGTCACTTTTTTTTAGTGACAAACATCACCTTTAACGAAAGTTGTATATCACTTTTTAATATAAAGTAACACTTAACTTTAAAAAATGACATTGTGTAGCACTTTTTTTTAATTAAAAATGACGCATAATTTTACACAGTATTTTTTACTTCCAAAATATTTTTTGTCTGATTTTTCGAAAGACCACTAATTTTAAGAGTATTTTTCTAAATTGCCCTGAACAAAATGCTGTACCAACTTCAATCTTTAAAGTTCGTCAACCGATCAAAACATTTCTGATGTTGGTAGCGCCTATGGAGGCATGAGAACATGAAACTCTTTAGCGATCTTCTAGATTTCGTTTATTCACTCATGAACATCAGAAATCTATGTATCAAATACTCGTTGATTCATGAAACAACATGTTTGAATTTCATTTCTTTAAATCTCATTTTCTAAAAGACCACATTGTCATATTTATTTAATCCAAGAGAACTTTCCCCATGTTTGACATCCTTTAAAAATTTAAATTGTTTGTTACAATAACATTTTTCACCACACATTCACACAATGAAATACTGCATACAAATCAATAAAATTTTCTTACTTTTTAACCACACATTCTTCAAAAAGTACCATTCAATAACTCATTATTTCCAAGTAAATTCTACAAACAGTCCTTTATTGGATAAGGATAATCGAAACTACCACAATAAAAGTTATGATATAAGATGTTAATTCAAAACCGACCATTAAAAAAAAAAAAAAAAGAACTTTAATCATCACATAATACTAAAATCGTAAAATGATAATTCATATCATGCAGAGAAAAATTTGTCATCGAATTTTAAGGAAATATGGATTACCTTCTCTTGGGCAAACAGTAATTGTTAATCGATTTGCATTATGTAGTCACGAGTATATGTGTTCTCCGGTTGTACCTCATGGTTCTGACATCTCCTTGGCAGCATGCTCATGGTTCTAAGATTAGTATTATCACACATGATTTCCTCTGGTTCGAAGTTCATTCATCATTCCACCTTTAGAGGATGTTTGAGAGTCATTTTTATGTAAAAATGTATTTTGAAATTAAAAATTGATGAAAAATGTGTGGTTGAAAAATAAGGAAAAGTTTTTTATTTACGTGTAATATTATTTTAATGAAGAATGTGTGGTTGAAAAGAAGAAAGAGAAAAATGTATTTTAAAAAAAATTAGTACCAAACGGGGCCTTAATACCCGAAGTAAATTCAATGCATGCGTAATGCTTCAGGAATGGTTTGTTACATTCTTTTATTCAGTACGTAATTAATTTGAAATATAATAGTTGAGATTTATGCACAAATAAGCTAAGGGAAGAAAATGCTTCCTAAAATCCTATTTATTTATTTATTAACCTTCGAAACAAAAGGTCGATAGATCAAGACATTACATTACCACGTCATTTCCAAAAGATGTGACAAATCATAATATCTCGTCTATAGACAAAGCACACCTCTACATATCTATTCAAAAGTTTGAAATGTTTCTCTTACAACCTTTTTTTTAACAAATCTATGAGTGACAAATTATAACATCTCGTTTCTTACCTGAAACACTGTAACCATTAGAAGTTAGAACCACTCAAGTACAGAAAAGTTGTGAAAAAACATGTCCTTGACATCTATTCGAAAAAAGAATAGGAAAGAGAGAAATTGAGCCCCCGTTTGGCCTCCTTTTTTTTCCAAAATTTAATATTTGGAATAGTATTTTTTGAAAAATGTATGGTTGACGAAGAATGAAAAGTTATCGATTTACGTGTAATATTATTTTATGGAAAATTATATAATTGAAAATAAGGGAGATGAAAGAAAATGAAACAGAATGAGGGCCAAACGTGGGCTAAAGTTAAGTTTAGGTTATTTCTTTCTTCTAGGACATGTCGAAATCAACCCTTATGCAAACCAGAGTGTGACCATAATATCGTTCCATACATACTTATATGCAGTCTCTTGTTTGTTTTATATTTTGTTCAACAGTTATATTGGAAGGAAAATTGGACAAATAATGATCATTGAAAAAGAAAAAATCTATGTAAATTCAAAACGGGAAGAAATTGATGGGTGGACGATTCGCATGGGCTTGTTTTTGCAAAAAGTGATGCCATTTGCCTTGAACCATGCATACGAATAGTTATAAAAACTAGCAGTTTGGCTAGTTTTCAATTTTGATCTCTTGGTGGTTTTCATAAAAAAATCACAACTTTTAATGAAAAGTTGGCACTAATTTGTGGATTGTGAATGAAAAACAATAAATAAGTGATAGTTTTCCATTACAAACATAAGAAATCAATCCTTAAAATCTACTTTATGTGCTTTTTTCTCCAATTTTTTTAGTGTTCATCAATTTCTTGGTTGAAATCAAGAGTGTTTAAGTGTCTTCTTCTAATGGAGTTGTTTAATAAATCCCTTTAAGCACCCTAAAAACATTATAGAGAGGACAAATATCATTTAAAGATAACAATTACGTGTTCAGATCTATTGTTCTTTTTTTTTAGCATTCTTTCCTTCTCTTATTTCTCATTATTTTCCAATAGTTTGTATTAGCCAGGGCATCGTAGATGACGTTCCATGGTTCTTTATTGCGTTGTCATATTTTGATGTATTTCAAAACCTTTGGTAATGTCTATTAGTTGATATTCTGCAAACCTAGGTAGTACTATGTCCATGTTATGGATTTTCTAGTTATGAGTGAATGTTTATCATGTACAAAGGCATTTTAAAATTTCAAAGTGCAACGCCATTTACTTGCCTTGGTTTGGTTTAGCAAAAAATTTAGATTTTTAGTAGATTTTGATAAAAGTAAATAAATATAGGGACATTTTTAAGAATGTTCAATTTTAAGGGTATCAGTTGAAAAGTGTAGCTCATTTGAATTTAATGTCAACTTGTTCATTATGCCCTTAATGGAAAACTACATTTTGAAATGGTATTCTCAACATTTTAAATGTCGTTCTCGACATTTGATTTTTTTATCAATTTGTCACAAATTTGCTTCCATGAGAAGCTACATTAAAATAATGTTTTTCGACATTTCATATGTTATTCTCAACATTTGAACGCTTTCATTCATCCAGAATGACATTTCATTTTGAATATGACATTTCTCTACATTTAAAAATGTTGTTCTCAACATTTCTGAATCAATGAAAAACATAGCATTTATTGTGATTTAACATGTATACTTTTTGAAATAAATATGACAGGTTATGTGTCAAAATTTTATTGGCCAACAACAACAAAATTTTATTGGCCAATAAATATGACAGGTTATTGTCTTAGTGTGGAATTATAAATTGTTAATAAGGGTATTTTGGTCTAAATTCTTCCAAATTAAACATTTTTGCAATAGTGGATATTTTTGCAAATGACTACGTAAAAATGGACATTTTGTGAAATTTCCTTATAAATATATGATTGAAAGGTTGATCAAAGTTACAAGTCCCATGAAATCTATTATTGAAAAATGAATTTAAAGAAAAATGAGTTTTAGAAAATAGGGATAAAGATGGGCTTAATTGTTATTCAAGAATGGTACATACATATATTTGTAAGAACGATAAAACAAAAACTGAAAAAAGAGGGATAGTTACTGCACGAACTGTGTCAAAAGATTAACTCACTCTGGAGAGTAAGTGACTGAGAGCATACTTAAACATGTTGAAAAAGAATTTGATTCGATTAAACGATGACAAACATTAAATATACATGTGAACATATGCAAAATGGGAGAGAGAGGGGGGCATTTTAGAGATAAATTGTTGTATACAAAAGATCATCATTATGTATCTATAGAGCTCGATGATCAATATTTTAGTTTTTTTCTTCATATAGTCTAATGTTCTCCAATCTACCTTACCAAACGGACATAAATCATTAACACAAGCTTTTGGCATAATCAATATACAAAGAAATATGCTTTTAGTTCAAAACCACAGAAGATAACCAAGCTTGATTCTATCAACAACTTATTCCAAGCAGAATAATCCCACACGGATATTTACATGATTCAACACTATCAAAGCTAAAAAATCACTCAACAGTTATTCCTCTTATCTCAAGAGTATCCAGCTTCTTAGGTCTCTTGTAATATTTCAACAAAAGAGAGCAACAAACGACACTCACTGAAGAGGCTGCCATTGCTGCTCCGGCAATCCATGGAGGTAGTCGGAATCCAGTGGATGGGAAAATGGCCCCAGCAGCGATTGGAATGCCAAGGATATTGTAACCTAATGCCCAGAGATAGTTAAGGCGGATTCTGAAAAAGGTTTTACGGGAAAGGTCTATGGCAGTTATGACATCCTCCAAATTACTCTTCATTAAAACGATGTCAGCTGCCTCAATAGCAATGTCAGTGCCTGCACCAATTGCCATTCCGACGTCTGCTGCTACAAGTGCCGGTGAGTCGTTGATTCCATCTCCAACCATTGCGACAACATTTCCTTCAGCCTGTAGATGGTAAAAGATGTAAAATGTATGCAGAATGACAATTTGGCACATATGCGCTATGTCAAGATAACAAAGAGAATATCTATGAGTAGCATACTAACTACTAAGCCCCTGTTTTATGTAGATTAAAATTCAATTTTTTATTTTTTATTTTTTATTTTTAGCAAATTTTGATAAAAGTTCAAAAAATATGTGGTTGAAAAGTTATGAATCCCATTAAATGTGATAAAAATTAATTGTTGACTTTGACTTGAAATTAGAATCAAATTTTAATCAAAACCAAATATGGGCTAAGTATATGACTACGCGTATGGTGTCGGGAAGCATGAAGAGGGCACATGTTACATAGCACCGGTTACTTTTACACTTCAATGTCCAGTCTCGTAGACTAGTTAATTTTTCGGCATTGTCCTTCCATTACATCCCTTTCTAAGATTGTAGGTTATTTTACTTCAATATCATTAAATTGAATATGTTATTTGTACATAATGCGGTGTCTATATCGGTGCTCACCACATCAGAAAAACTTTATTTTATTCGAAGTGGGTCCCTCTCTATATAAGGGGTGATCCATCTGGATCAACAGATTTACTATTCACATGTTTGTATTTCACAAGAATGGTCGAGAAATTATACTCACCTGTAGTTCCTTTACTTTCTCTGCCTTATTCTCAGGTTTAGCTTCTGCAATGACGGTATCTATCCCAACTTCCTTGGCAATAGAATTCGCAGTTCCCCAATTGTCACCTGTGACTACTATACTCTTAACTTTCATCGATTTGAGAATGGAAACGACTTCACGAGCCCCGGGCTTCAATGGATCAGATATGGCCAGAATTCCAACCAACTCCCTGTCGATGGACACAAGAATCCCAGTATGTGCCAACCCTTCAGTTTCTGATAGAATTTCCTCGGCATCAAGTGGAATATTGATGTTTTGCGCCAGCATTAAACCCTTGTTTCCCACAAGAACTTCCTTGTTTCGAACAATGGCCTTCACACCATGGCCAGTTATGGATTCAAATTCCTGGGCTTCAGGCCAGACTGGGTTCTCTTCGTCTTGCCTAAACTTTTTGGCATACTCAACGACCGCCTTGGCTAATGGGTGTTCACTGTTTACCTGTAAAATCAAAATACAAACCATAATCGAAGTCATTACTTGTTGGATAAAGTGGAGTTATTTTGAGAATAGGAAAAACCGTCCGTCATGGATTAGTTTAGTTCTAAATCTGTGTAATTTGTACCCATGGTTTGCAGAGATAATAATCTAAATGATCACTCAACTTTACAAAAAGTTTTTCAAACAGTCATTGAATTTTAAAAACCACCCAAATCTTCACTGAACTTTAAAAATAGAATAAAGCTTTTTTGCTAGAATGATTTGACAAAAAGTTTGACATAATTGCATGTGATGGTAGATTATTGGAGAAAAATGTTCATTGTATTTTAAACTGTTCAATGATAGAATGTTACATGATATTATGCCAAACTTTATGAAAACCTTGATGTTAGCGTAGCATAATTGAAAAGTTAATAAAACGTGGTTAAAAAGTTATTGGTTCTATAAAATGTGCGATTAAAATTAATTATTAATTCCAAATTAAATTTCAATCAGATTTTTTAACAATACAAAATAGGGATGTAATTTATCAATTCAATTTCGAAAACGTCAAAACGCAAATACTTACCTCCGGATTTCTCAAAAATTCTCTATTCCTCTTCATTATCAGAGCAAGATACACGTGTACACCTGTACAAAGCACAACTGTTTGCTAAAGGAAATCCATAGAGATTTTTAAAGGTTTTGAACTATTTTAAACAGGCGCAACGATTTAAAATTTATTGTTCAAGCAACTATATTTTTAAATTTTACGTGAGACACTCAATGCTATAAATAAAATTTCACATCTTCTTAACTTTGTCGTTATATGTGAATTTAATTATTTTAGCCCATGATTATATTTGGGGAAATCATGAAACAATTACAGAGTTACCTTCGGGCTACAATTTAGCCTTCACATTATTAAACAGTACTTGTTTGAATTATCATTTTCCATTATGTGATAATTCTCGATTTATATTGATAAAATAATTTTTATATAATTACATGGTTGGATTGATTATGGAATAGCGAGTATCTCATTAAGTAAAATTCATTATACTCGTCCCTTTCACGTGAAAATTAGCATATTGAACGATGACTGGTGGATTGATGTGTCATTGAACTACGGATCCTAATCACAGAGTACCTTAATTATTATTAATATTAACCGTTTCGTTATGTGTTGTGGACACTTTCATTTTTAGCCTCTCATCTTCTCGAGAGAAGGCAGACTTGAACGGATAAAAAAGATGGTTCAACTACATAGTGTTATTTTATTTTGTTGAGAATTAGGCTCTTATGTTTTGTATTTTGGTCGGTGGATTTTGGCCAAAAAGAAATAATTATTGGGATTGAATTAATCTCTAAATCCTAATTAAACCCTAAACATGTTAAAAGGAATCAAATGCATGCCTTACTTTCATCAAGAATGATGTGCACTATCTAAGGGTTAACCCAGAAATACATCACGGGAATATACATTGAGAAGAGATCAAGCAGTAGTTGGACAAGGACCCACTCCTCACTAGCCATCATGTTTGACCATTTTAAAGCCAACAAATGTGGCTTTACTTTTTTACGTCAATGTCGCCAAGATAATGATTTCAATATTGTAGAAGAATTAAGCTATTTGTACAATGTTAGTTGACTAACATTGTTGATAACGTTGGAGGTAGCGAAATTCGGACCAATGATTTAAAAAATAATTTCCGATAATTTTAAAAATGGATAGATGTGATGATACCAACAAATGTTGTCATCCATTATTGTACAAATAAAATTGTACAAGTAGCATGATTGATCCTTGGTATGAAATACAACATTTGAAGTGTAGAAAAATCTCCTACCTTCCAATTCTGTTTGTTAACCTTTAAAAACAGTAAAAATTGTCAAAATTAAAAAGAATAATTACAGTTACAATCTCAAACTACCCTTTTTTTTTCTTTTTTCTTTTTTTGAGAATGCCAACTGTTAAGATTTGGAGTTCCATCTTAAAAAGTCAACATTATTAAGATAAGTAGTCCAAAAGTGTAATACAATTACAAAGGGAAAAAGAAATTTAATTCCTAATTTCATTTAAATACGTAAATTATAATGTCAGGTGGGTTCTCGATAAGGATAGCACTTTTACAAGGCTACATATAGCATGTGCTGGAACTTATGAAACAAGAGGGTGATCGTGCATCCCTCGACAAGATTATCACAAATACGAGGCTGCATTAGCATATGTTTCTACATCTTTCTCGATCAAGCTCACATCAAGAAGCATGAATATTTTTAGATTCATAATATTTGCTTGCTCAGAGTGTGACTCGTGTTGAGTTCAAAGTCTTTCTTCTTTATTTGATATTGTTGAATTATTAGCAAGTTTGAACAGTGGTCCTTGTTGGTTTATTCCTCTTAACGGTGAGAAAAATATATATTTAGACGAGAATGTCACAAGTCAAGATTATTTAGCACCGATAAGGATCAATGGATGCTGAGGATTTTGATTTGGATAACAGTTAATAATTTTGAAACTTGAGGAACTAAGTTTTGAAGTCAAAATTTGTATCAAATCAGCCCAAATAATGAAGTACGACTTAGCAAGAAAATTATCATATCAATATTGTGCTCATTTTCAAGATCATATTAAATATTGAATTATGAATTAATTCAAGAAAAAAAATTAATTTGGATAAGTCAAATTCGAGTCGAGACAATTAAAATAAAATACTTAGTAAATAATATTAATTTCCAAATTATCATATCAATAGTGGACTTATATTAAAGCTTGCATTAAATTATTCAATGAGTCAATCGTGTATCATGGGCTCGACAAAAATATATTTTTGAATAGAACTGAATTAATCAAAGTTGAAGCCAACCCAAATTAATTATGGTTAAATGAATTAATAAGGAACAAATTACTTTTGGTTTGCTCAAAAAGGGAGAATTATTGAGATTGGATTAGTCTTTAAATCTTAATTAAACCCAAAACGCGTTAAAAGGAATTCCACTCATTGACACTTTCCACGCGTCTCTCTCTCTCATATTTATATAATTTATCATGAATGATGTGCCATATTTCTCAAATGCATTCCCAGACAGGCGGCCCCACATGAAAAAAAAAAAAAAATTTGCCAGGGCCATGATGTGTGTGGTCTGGCAGGGGTTGTACCTGCAGCACGACCCTTCTCAAATTATCTCCATTCCTCTTTATGATCGAACCAAAATACACGCATACATATGCACAAAACACGATTGCTTGCAAAAGAAGATCTACAGAGATTTTTAAAGATTTTGTACTATTAAAATTTAAAACCTAAAACTTAAATTCGCTCTTTTGCTCGATGTCAACATCATTTGTGGATCAAATATACATATCTAATGGAAAAATGAGACATTCCATCCTCTTTTTTTCTTTTTTCTTTTTCATTGACTTGCCTGTGTATTTGCCACCTTATCTATTTCTCTGTTCCAAGTGTTCTTATTTATTATCGCTATAAAAGAAGAAAGGGGAAAAGGTAATGAAACCCAAAACAAATAAGTATGGAAACAGTAAAAATAGAAAAATCACTTTCATGGCACCATTCCTAAACTCAATGAAGGATTGAAATTTTTGAATTTGAAGAAAAATCGCTTTCACGGCACTATTCTAAAATATTTAGAAAGGGATGTGAACTGTTGCGCTTGGACTTAAGTGGAAATATATTGAATGGAACATTACCACACACATTGGTCAATTGTTGGATGTTTGAAGAACTAAATATTGGAAACAATGACATAAGTTACCCATTCTCCTTTGGGATGGAACCTCTTCCGAATCTTCGAGCTCTCTCATCGAAGTCCTCAAAGGTGAAGCTTCCATTTCCTAAGCTTCAAATTCTCGATATGTTCTATAATGAGTTTACTGGATTTTTAGAGAACTTCAAGGCCATGATTAATGTGAGTGAAAATGAAATTCATGCCGGATTCTATTTTTCAACTATTTTGCTGAAGGGGTTCGAGTATGAGCTGTAGATTATCAAAAGAGCTTCTACAAGCATTGATCTATTGAACAACAAATTTCAAGGAGATATTCCAAGTTCTATAGGAAAGATGAAGGGCTTCCATACTCTGCACTTATCTAATAATAGTTTTACAACATCAGGTGCATATTTATGAAATGTTAGGGACCTTCGCTGGCACAAGATAAATGTTATGGTAAAGTCTATAAAAAAATGTAAAGGTTATAGACTGTTACTGCAATCTTCCCTATTTGTAAGCATGATCGAACATTCTATGGGCTCGTTTCAAACAGTTTCGACTTTTACTTCTATTTTTTATATAAAATCTTTTAAAGGAAGTTACCTTAAATTAATTTTCTTTAAAAACTCTTCAAGTCAGGTAAATCATTTTTTAAAAAAAAATATATCCAAATACATTAATAAGCAGCTTCTCAAAAGCAATTTTTAACTTCTAAAATTTTTTATCGAAAGAATTTTAGTTCAATTTTCTTTAAAAACTCTCATACTATGGCTTAATTGTTAATACAAACAAATTGTGCGCTTTTGTTGACTTTTGTTCAAACGGTCGATAATGTTTGCATTATACCAGGGTTTCCCTCCAAATGAACCGGATCAGTCAGTGGCGGGCCCAGCTGTCCAGATAATGCCCGCTTTTGATGATTCAAACCCGGGGATCTTTGACTTCTGCACAGCCCGAATAAATAATTTAAGGTTTAGCCCATCTTTGGGTTCATTTTAATGATATTTTGAGGAAAAAATATATATTTAATTTTTTTGAAAAATGAATATTCAAAAAAGAAGAAATTTTTTGAATTTATGTATAATATATTTTATTCTTTTGCAATGATTAAAAGAAAGAAAGAAAGAAAAATGTATTAAAATTACTCCTTTAAGACCATTGATTGTCGCTCTTTGAACAGGCAGAGACGAACACACCATTCCAACGGCAGCAGGCGGCAGGTCGCCCAAAGTGAAAGGAAGGACCCTCATATTGGGGGAACCTGGGGGAAGGGATCTTGCCCGATTGCTTTAAAAGACGCTTGACCCCCTGGTTCCCACCTGTCCTGTCCAAAACTATGGAACTCATCTGACACG